GGGGAGGGGGGAGGGGAGAATAAGGCCGCCTGCTGGTTGGGGACCAGATTTTCTCCTGGGGCGGGAGTGTCTAATCCCCTAATCCAGGATTGCTTTCTGAGGCTTTCCAGACCTGACATACTCTCCTGTTCTCTTCCTCCCCTTCAGTCCCTCCCTCAGAAGCTTGATTACCCTGGGACCCCTCAGCAACCCTAGAGTCCAGACTTGAGCCAATGGTGGAGACGCTGCGGAAAGCAACATCTGAAATTTAGAACCTTTGCATCTGGGAGTTCTAAACATACCATCAGGGTACAGGAAATAGCTTCACAGTCACACTGGTTCCTGACTTGAGTCCTCAAAATCCCAGGACAGAAGAATTTATCTAATGCACAGTTTTCCTTTCATAGATGAAAAAGCTAAGCACCCAAGACAGAAAATGACTGCCCATGAACACAAAGCCAGAATGGCAGAATTGAGTCTAGAACCCATTTCTATTTACTCCAACTTAGGTCATTCTTCAGTAGCCTCTTTAAAATTGATCTTGCCTCCAATGAAAGAGACATGAATACAATCATATCTACGCTGCTCAGCTGCCTCTGATTCTCTGCTCCAAAAATGAATAAATGAAAGAAAGGAAGAACGATTAACAGGGGTTGAGTCTGGGATGGACTTTTCCTCTTTTATGTCCAGGTTTCAAAGATGCAGGGCTAGAGCAGCATCTTGGCTGGAGCAGACAGCCTCCTGTATCTGTAGAGATACCTTACAGCGCAGGCATTTTCAGGATCATGGACACGGCCAACTGCCATGCTGGCACTGAGGAATGTATCAATGGTTTCAGACTAGACCCAACTGTGGTATCTTCCATGGTGGACTCAAAGGATGCTTCTGAGGGACTCACCAAAAACAAGGTGCTTTCACCGATTGGCTTTGTAAACACCCAGCTAATCCATTAGGGAGGAGAGTAAACTATTCGGACAAGATGTGAGCCCTTGGGAGGTGGTGTGATGGCTCAGTGATAAAGGCACTTACAACCAAGCCTGACAACCTGAGTTCAATGCTTGGGACCCAAATGGCTGAAGAAGAAAGCTGATACTTGCAAGTTGTCCTCTGTCCACACATTTTGCACACATACAGAATAACAATATACTATATTTGGTACCCTTGGCTGTCACAGAGTCAGTCACACACACACACACACACACACACACACACTAGCACACTACAATCTATCCTATATTACTCTATATTACTCTGTAGAGATGTGTAAAGAGGTAAAACATGAAGTGTGTTTGTCGGAGGTGTTTTCCAGCAATCTCCAGAATCTCCAGTCTGGGATGTCCCTCTAGGGGCATACTTAGATGAAGATCTATGGCCTGGTGCTATTGCATCTCTGATCATCCAGGGAGTAAACCTCTCTATAAAGACATAAGGATAACCACAGGAAATAGGTGAAGGCCAGAAGTGACTGTCCTTTCCGACTGCCCCATTGTCGAGCCTCACTAGAGCTCTGACCTGGAGAGCCACCTGGGATGTGGGAGACACTGACTCTATCCTACCCTCTGTTGTAGAATTCTACTTATTCCCTCCCTCTGGACTTCAGCATCTGCATCTGTAAGTGAAGAGTGATCTCTCCCTGTCTTCTGTGAGTCTTGGATTCAGACCATGGAGCTCTTCCTGAGGAAGCCTTAGGATATAGCTCTGTTTGAGAGAGCTTGCCTAGCATGCACAAGGCCCTGAGTTCAATCCCCAACACCACAAAGAATTTGGGGGTGGGGTGGGAGGAAGCCACTTGGCTGATTGTAGCAGTACACACCTATCAGGAAACAGAGGCAGAATTCTCATGACAAGTTTGAGGCAAGCCTGGTCTACATATGAGTACGAAACCAGACAGGGCACTGTAAAGTGAGGAAAGGAAAAAAACATTCTTCCCAGGGAGTCCAGACCAAGCAAGGGTAGAATTCCAAAGGGAGACCCCAAGACCTCCAAATGACACCACTCAAGGAAGCTGGGGGCTCTTCCTTGCCTTCCTGGTGAGACTTTCAGAAAACTCATTGCAAGCACCTCCTACATGGCCAGCCTGGCCTTGGCTAATAAGAGGTGGCCTTCAGTTCTGAGGCCCAGGAACCAGCATACCCTCCCCATGCAGAGGAGCAGAGCCCTGGGAAGATGGGACAGTAGAGGAAAGCCCCTGGATAGAGCAACTTAAGAGACAGTGAGCAGGCTCCTATTTTTGAACTCAGAATCTCCAAAATGCAGCCCCCCACCTTGTGTTTCTCAGAGAGAAGCTCGGTGAAGCTGCCTCCCACCACGTGAGAACTGGGGTGCAAGAAAGGACTTTATAAATTATTTTTCCACTTACCACTTATGATGAAATTGGAGTCTAGAAATGGAATGGAATGGGAGGCATTTTCCTCGTGGGCTGAATTTACAAGTGGGGACTAGAATCCAGCCTCTCAAGCTCTAGGCAGGCCTTCTCCACTAAGCCAGGACAGGGGCTGCCGGGGGAAGCTGGAAGACACAACTGTACCTTTTTCCCATAGGCACAGTTTTCCCCCCATTTGGCTCAGTCCCTACTCATCCTTATCACCAAGCATCACTCCCTTGACCTACCCACCTCCTGTCATGGAGCTAAGACCCCAAGGCCTCTCCTTCACCCCTCCTCCTGCCACCTGCATGCCTTATCCTAAACAGCCAGTTGATGAGTCCAGTGCATAACACACCCCACACATAGAGGGCTCGAAGCAGAGCACGTCAACCACCACCGTCTCCGTGGCAACCGGGGGCTTAATTAACAGGCTGCAGCCCCGTCACCATGGCAACAGCACCCCCAACAGCCCCCTATTCCCCTGCAGACTCAGCCTGTCTTCCCTATTTCCCAATCTGGACCTCTTCTCATGTAACTCAACCCCACCCTCACCCCGCCTGGGAAGCTGGGGCCTGTAGATAGCTCTGGTTCATTGAGAAGAGAGGAGGGGAGAGAAGGGGTGAGAAAGAGAAAGGAAGGGAGGGGAGAGGGAGGGAGGGAAGGAGAGAGAGAGAGAGAGCTGTCACCATGGCAACTGCAGCCCTGTTCATAACCAGTTTGTTGTCATGGAGATTCCTAGGGCTCACCTTGGGCTGAGGTGGGCAGTGAGGTTCTGAGTCTTGACTGAAGGTAGAGAAACCAATGGTCTCTCTCCTCTCTCTCTCTCTCTCTCTCTCTCTCTCTCACACACACACACACACACACACACACCAATAACACCATCATTCTTTCCAATTTGCAGATAGCAAGACTGAAATAAGAGATCTGAGTCTGGGGGAGGCCCCACCCTTATAAACCATCAAAAACTCTTGCCTTTTTTTTGGTGTTTAAAGTGTTTTGTTTTTGAAGAAAAGTCTTTCTTTGTAGCCCAGGCTAGGCTGCCTCAGCCTCCTGGAATTACAGGTGTGACTATTGCCACAGGCTCATCTTCAGTATTTCTGTGGAAGGAAGGACTCTTCCTACTTCACACTACAGACAGGTGAACTGCGGCCCAGGGAAGGAAAGTGGTGTGTCCAAGGTGACACCACAGAGCTTGGGCCAGAGCATGCATGGCCTATCTTATGGTCTTGCTTCATCCCCCACAAAAGCTATCTTTTATTGTTTGTTTGTTTGTTTTTCTTTTTCTTTTTCTTTTTTTTTCTTTTTTTTTTTTTTTTTTTTTTTGGTTTTTCGAGACAGGGTTTCTCTGTGTAGCTTTGGAGCCTATCCTGGCACTCGCACTGGAAACCAGGCTGGCCTGGAACTCACAGAGATCCGCCTGCCTCTGCCTCCCGAGTGCTGGGATTAAAGGAATGTGCCACCAATGCCTAGCTGTTTGTTTGTTTTTCAAGACAGGGTCTCTCTTTGTAGCTTTGTAGACCAGGCTGGCCTGGAACTCAGAGATCTGCCTGCCTCTGCTCCTGAGTGCTGGGATTAAAGGAATGCGCCACCAATGCCTAGCTGTTTGTTTGTTTTTCAAGACAGGGTCTCTCTTTGTAGCTTTGTAGACCAGGCTGGCCTGGAACTCAGAGATCTGCCTGCCTCTGCTCCTGAGTGCTGGGATTAAAGGCGTGTGCCACCACCACCAGCAGGTTGCAAACGTTACCATATTAGCCCTCCACAAAGGCAAGCCTCAATTTCTGTGAGCCTGGCCCCAGGGTCCCTTCCCACTGTCCAGCCTCCACCTGAAAAGCTGAGGCATGAGGTGTGGGTGAAAGGAAGTGGGCTTGGCTCAGAGCTGTAAGAATTTGTCTCCTCCTATCCTGGGAGATTACCATCAACTTTTCTATGGACCGAAAGATACAATTAGGCATGTGCTGCAGTCCAGGGTTAAGGGTACATTTGAGGCTCAGTTTCTCACTTGCCCTTTTCATCTCTGTAGGTCATATAGCAGGCAACCCTCCAAGGGGCAAACCCTATAGCCTGGGCCCACAGTAAAATGCAATGCTCACACATACATGGTTGCCAGTCCCCCCAAACCCCTCCCAGCCCTTACATATGTTGCCACCCTTCCCTTTGGGCCCGGGGACAAGAGATGGGGAGAGCATCTCTCTGAACTGCTCACTGACTCTTGTCTGCAGACTGACACACGGGCAGCTGTGGGAAAGACACCAGATGCTAAGCTGCTCCTGGGAGCACTGGTCTAATTCTCTACTCAGTGACCTTCAAGGAGGAGGTTCTTGAGGTCATCTGAGGGCTTGAGGGGTTAGAGTCACCCAAATCATGACTAAGGGGAACTCTGGATGAACTGGATACAAGTGCCCACCCCCCCAGACAAAACCAGAAATCTGTACACCCAATATGTTCATCATACACACTGGCAACACAGTGACACACGTAAGCCCTGACTCACTGGATATCTGACAGGTCCTGAAAGCCACTGTGGAATATATACATCGAGACATGCACACACAGCCTCAGCACAGCACACATTTCACACACACAGCCATTTCCCACACATTTGAACAGTCCAATTCTGAGTCTGTGTTTTATGTCAATGGGGCAGGTATTTGGGAGCATGAACGGAAAGACTGAGCCATCACCTGGGGATGTGAGTCCCCAGCATCTTCCTCCCAGGCCAAGGTCTGAAGAACAGGAGGAGAAAAGGCAAAGAGGGAGGAGAGGAGAAGGAGGAGGCTAGAGCCACACATTCTCATCTGATGAGCACTCATCACTCACTGTCAGGCTTTGGGTCTAGAACTCAGAACACAAAGATAAAAAAGACGTGATCTCTGTCTCTGATGCACTTGACAGCATCCATTGGGAATGTGTTCCAGTGGGTAGGATGAAAGGAATGACTACCTCCTCCTGGGAGTGGGGGGGGGGGGGGGGGGGGGTTGAAGGGATTTCGGAAGAGGTGAAATGAGCTATAACTTAACAGGGTGAGTGGGAGTTTTCCTGGCTAGTGGAAGTGGGGGCGAGGGTTGAACAGGAAGAGGTATACCAGATGCAAATGAGGAAGGAAACTGAGTGACAAACTAAAGGGTTTGACCTTTTATCCTACAGTGGTGGACATCTTCCTTGTGGGATGGTTAGGACAGGCTGGCGGCAGGGGGACCCGAGAAGGATGTGGTCCTGGCTATGTAGCAACATTGCAGTCTTGGACCGGGGGGGGGGGGGGGGACCGAGGAGAGATGTAACAGAATTCAGGTTCAGTTTTGGAGGTCAGTGGCCAGATCATGAGGAATAATTGGATTTGGTGAGAAGAGGAAACTCAGCGTTGCTGAGTTTCTTGATTCTGAGAGGCTTGGAAGCCATTTTTTAAACTGAGGAACAAGAGGAGCTACAGCAAAGAGGGAGAGTGAGAAAGAGACCCGAGTGTCCACATCCACGAGGCGGTCGGGTCACCTGAATGGAACCTGCGGAAGTCCAGAACTGGAGTTGTCCATACCTTGAGGAGCTTCCTGAAGGATCCCCCTAAGAACCACGCTTGTGTTAGCTCCAGGCAAGGCGAGCTCACCCGCGGCTCATGAGCGACCCCTAGCGGCCAGGGAAGGCTCTCTCCTCTCGGCCTTGTGGCCACTCCAAGCCTGTTTGCCCCTCTCCTTCCAAACGTGAGGGAGGCAGAGTTAGGGGGAGGGAGAACCCAGCAAGCGGCCCTTGCAGAGGGGATTCTGTCTGCAACCAGGATGTTACTTCGTTTCTGAAGGCCAGAAGGATGCTTCTGCTCTCTCCACTGTAGGTGCTGGTGACTTCCACTACAAGATCGCTGCACTGGGCCCCCAACTCCAGCTGAGCTAGCTCCTCCAACCCTTCAGGAGCTCTCTCTCCCTCAGAGGGAGCTGAGTCCCGGGGCACTGAGACTGGGTCCTCTGGCATCCTTCCGGGACCTAGCTGCCCAGGATTCAAACTTCCCTGCGGTCTGCTTTAGGGGACACCCAGGCGTTCCCGACTCTATAGACACACAACACTGGAGAACCCACGGGGCGTCCGGGGCCCGCTGACGTGGCTTCTGCCTCAGCGACCCCACCCACCCAACCTGGCTCCACTCTCATCCTCAGGCCCCAACCGTTTCTGGCTGCCTCCGACCCCCAAATCGACACAGGCCCGCTTCCCCGCAGCCCTGGAATCCCCCAACCTCATAGTACCCCTCTCTCTTTCCCTCCCACTCCCTCTTTGCAAGGCCCCCCTCCTCCTCAGCGCTTGGGCCTGCTCCCATCGAGACCCAGACACAACCCCTGCGTCCGCAGCTGCCCCCTTCTTCCCTCGCCCCTGCCCCTCTCATTTCCTAGCCCCACTTTCTCCCCCGTGGTCCCGCCCATCAGGATCCGGCCCCGCCCCCTCGTCTTTCCCTCCGGGGCGCCCCAAGTCCTTGGTCAGCACTCCTCTCGGCTCCCTGCAGCACCCCTCGCCCAGCCCAGGCCCCGCCCCACCCCGCAGTGGCCCCCCCCTCTCGCCCCGCCCCCCGGCAGCCCCGCCCCCTGCGGCCTCTGCCTCTGACGCACAAGTGGCCGCAGCCAGGCTGCTGAAGCGCCAAGAGCTTCCCCGCCCGCCGCGAGCCGCGCCGGGTCCTAGTGCCCGCTGCTCCCAGCCGCTCCAATCTGGCCCCTTTTTGAAGCCCTAGGCTCTCAGTTTCACCAGAAGCACCTGAGGAGCCTACCCAGATGTGAGTCATGTCTCACGGAGGGTTCCTCCACCTCTTCTGGGGGGTCTCCTGAACACCTGGGGTTCGTTCACTCAGCACAAGTTGATGGCGATCCTGTTGTTTTGGACGACGGAGACCTCTGCCCATAGGGTAGTGACCACCAAATGTCTACTTACCTTCCCGAGGCTTATGCTCTAAGGAGGACATCGGAGAAAGTGTGTGGGCAAATATATATATGTATATATACGTGCACATACATACATACATACATACATACATACATACGAGACTGTGCCATATCTTAAGAAGGAAAACTAGCACCATTGTTGAGAACTTAAAGGGTAATCTGAGAAGGGCTCCCAGAAAGCATGAGCCTTGAGCTGAGACCTCACTGACCAGGATAACCAGCAATGCAGAGATCTCAGGGAAGGATTCTGCAGCAGAAGCAGAAGCAAGCACATAGGTCTAGAGACGTATTCAGTGGGAGGATGCTTGCCAGGCATGCCCTGGGCTTTGGGTTTGATACTGGGCATCTTGAGTAGCAAATGAAGAGGCCCTGGGGCAAGAAGGAGCCTGGACTGTTCAAGAAAGCACAAGAGGGACACTGTGTCTGTGTCAGAATGAATGAATGACAGGAAATGAGAAAGAGAGCAAGCAGCCTCTTGAAGTCTATGCTTGCTAGTTTTATATCAACTTGGCACAAGCTAGAGTGATTTTTAGAAGAGGGAACTTCAATTGAGAAAATGCCTCCACCAGGTTAGTCTGTGGGCAAGCCTGTGGGACATTTCCTTGATAAATGATTGATGTGGAAGTGCCCGGCCTGCTGTGAGGGTTAGCACTTCTGTGCTGGTGGTCCTGGGTGCTATATGAAAGTAGAATGAACACGCCATAAGGAGCTAGCCAGGAAGCAGTGTTCCTCGTGGCTTTTGCTTCAGTTCCTGCCTCCAGGTTCCTGCCCTGATTTTCCATAGTGATGGACTGTAATGCCTGTAAGCTGAAACTAAAAAAACAAAAACCCACCTTCCTCCCAAAATTGTTTTTGGTCAGAATGTTCCATCACAGCAATAAAAATTTTTGAGGAGAAGCCTGGACTCTTCTAACTCAAAAGGGGAGCCACTGGAAGTTTTGGTGCAGCAGGATAGTGTGATCTGATTTATATTTAAACAAATCAGTGGCTCTGACAGCTGGACTAAAGGCATGGGAAGATTACTCAGCTGAGTGTGCATGGGGTACAGAGCCTGTAATCATATGGCTGGTGAGGCAGCCATGAGGGTCCCAGTGGCAGCCAGCCCAGCAAGGCCCCACGTCTGGAGAAAACAAGAGAGACCCTGCTCAAAACACAAGATGGGAGCCCGGCAGTGGTGGTGCATACCTTTAGTCCCAGCACTTGGGAGACAGAGGCAAGTGATCTCTGTGAGTTCGAGGCCAGCCTGGTCTACAAAGCTACACAAAGAAGCCCTTTCTGGGGGATGGGACTGAGGCACTTGCCAGCAAGTCTGATGACATGAGTTTGATGAAGGGAAGAATCGGCTCCAGAAAGTGCTCCTCTGACCTCCACACAAGTGCTGTTAGCACATGGGACAGTAGACATACCAGTAACTATATGCTTCTAAATCAAGACGGAAAGTGCCTGGAGGTGACACCCAAAGTTGGCCTCTGGCCTCTGCCTGCACCCACACACATGTATATGTATGTCTACACACACACACACACACACACACACACACACACACACACACACACACACGTGCAGAAGTCAGGAATGGATACCGGGAACCAAATGAAGGGCTGATGGTGGCCGGTCTAAGGGGCAGATGTCAGATACATTGTGGAAGACAGCAGGATCTCTGCATGGGGTGTAACAATGGAATCAGAGAGCTGCACTGTGGGGGAGTAGAAACAGTCAAAACCACCCTGGAATGCTGTTTGGTCACATCTCTTAAGGCTGGGCATACACATGCCCATTGGCCCACTTTTACTCCAGTTTGTGGGCAGAAGAAATGGCTACCCATGTGCCCCCAAAGGCTTTTGTTTGCCGTGTGTGTGTGTGTGTGTGTGTGTGTGTGTGTGTGTGTGCATGTGTACAGTCCCCATGGAGGCCAGAAGAGGATGTTGGATCCCCTGAAACTGGAGGTACAGGCAGCTGTGAGCCACCAGATGTTGGGATTAGGAACTGAACTTGGATCCTCTGTAAGACAACCAAATACTTTAACCTCTGAGCTGTCTTTCCAACCACTCCCCCACCAAAGCTTTTCCAAAAATGGTCATAGCATTATCCATAATGATTCCAGATCTGAATCTACCCAAATGTCTACCAATAGCAAAATTGATTATTGTCAAGCATCTACTCAATGGAATTGGACATAGTGCTAAGAATAAATCATCTACTATTTACAAAATATGCACAATCTTGCAAAAATATCATTGGACAAAAGGACTCAATAAACTCAAAAGGTGGAACACACCTTATAGAACTATTTCAATAGTGGGGGAGGGCAATAAGATGGCTTAGTGGGTAAAAGCTCAGTGGAATGAAAGTTGTGTGTGAATGTGCATGTCCACAACCATACAAAGGTGGTGGCACCTGGAGGAGGAGGGGCTGGGTCTGTTTAGGTGGAAAGCCTATCAGGTCAGTAAGAGCAGGCAGCCTAGCCTGAGACATGGCTTGGGGGAGAGGTCCCCTGAGGATGTCAGTTTGGACAGATAGGCTATTCAAACATGGACAGCTGGTGAGATCACAGGGAGTGAGTGTCCACAGTGAAGCATCTGAGAATTGAGCCTTAGGGCATGCTACCATTAGAGGTTACAGAGAGGGAAGAGAAGGGGCAGGATGGAAGGTGTTCCTCACACTAAGGGTGAGAAAAGCACTTCTAGAGAGATGGACTGTCACACCGGAGGAGAGGTAGTGTTTGCTGTGCTGACTGCAGGAGGTCACAGGCGAATAGTTGAGAGCAGGGAACAAGGAAGTGGCGACGTGAGCAGGACCCACCCATGGGTAAGTTTTCCTGTGAGTGGGCCTGGGGGTGAGGGGAGACCAGATAGTATCCCAGGGGAGACTGGGTGGAGAGAGGTTTTGAACAAGGCGTGTTAAGGAATGCTTGTGTGCAGATGGGAGTGGCTCATTCCTGAGCTGGAAACAGACCATCTGGGAGAGGAACAACCCCAGAGGAGGGGCTTGGGGGACAATTCTCTGAACTCTTCCTTGAACTCCCCAGAACCAAACTTCTCTCCTCTTTCTAGCCTTTCACTGACAGCACACACTCACCCTTGGGCTCTCCTCGGTGGAAACACATCCCTGTTGCTAGTTTCTCACTATTTGAACGCTATGGCCACCATGCTTTTATGTGCTGTTTCGTGTATGCGTGTGGAAGGGTGAAAACTGAGTCCATTTTCAGGTTGATGGTTTGGGGGATGGCTGGCTGGAGCGACGGCTCAGAGTTAAGAGCACTTGCTCCTCTCCCAGAGGACCAGAGTTCGCCTCCCAGCACTGGCATGGGGCAACACACCACTGCCTACAATTCTAGTTCTAGGGGATCCAAAGCCTCCCAAGGTATCAACACACATGTGTGCATACAAACACACACACATACAGTCATACAGTAAAAGTAATTAATTAACTAATTAATTAATAATTTTGAAAAAGGCTGTCCCAATTCCCCAGAAAGACACTCTGTCATCCTTCCTGGGTCAGTTCCAGTGGAGGGATCATCTTGGCTGGAGGACATTATCTCAGCCACAATGCACAGCACCCTCCTGCACATGTCTCTAACACACATGCTCTGCGCCAGCCACAGGGTTTCTCCCATGAGTGAGCCAGCTTCTCAAGAATGGAGTCTGGGGTCTGGTTCAAGCAGGTTTCCAGGACACTGAGAGTCGTTGAGCGATCCTTGAAGGAAGGACCCATATCCAATGAATTCCTCTGTGCCCAGAGCCCAGTACAGAGCCTGGCTCCCTTGGGATGCTCTCCATAAATGATTGATGAGTGAATAATAGCCTGGTGGTGTCCTCAGATGTGAAAGAGAAATAGTTACATAATACCTTCCAGTAGGGGTAACTGAATACCTTAATATTTATGTGGAGCTTGGAGCAGTGCCTGGCACACAATAAGCACTCTATGGGTTAAATACATGCCTGTAAATGTGACCACATGCATAATACATAAAAGTGACTAGAGTCAGTGAGGTGTCTTAGCCGATGAAGCACTTGCCATGAAAGCCTGAGAAGCTGAGTTCAATCCCCACACCGCACATAAAAATGGAAGGACAGAACCGATTCCACAACATTCTCTTCTGAGCTCCATATGTGCAAGCGTGGACGGACATACACACACACACACACACACACACACACACACACACACACAAATAAGGAGAAGCCGATTGATTAAAGAAGCTGGCAAAGGTTAGGGAATCGATGTTTATTAGAAACAGTCTAACAAAAAAAGGAAGGTGTGAAGAGAGGGCCCAGCCTGCCTCCACTCCTTCCCAGTCTCTAGAAGAGATCACCAGTTTGTATCCAGCAAACTGGCTCCTTTCCCTCTTGGGGCGGACTCTCCAGCGCACTGCACTGCTGAAGCGAAGGAGGGCACTAGTTCTCAGGGCACTGTAGGAAGTCGTAAGTCACATAGCCCACTTGGTCCACTTGGTTCACCTCATCTCGGAAACTCACACGCCAGTAGAATCGGTCCTGGCAGAAATAGGCTTTGTCTGTGGGAAACAAGGAGACACAAGAAAGCTGAGCCTATGCTTCTTTATTGACACGGGAACAAGATTTTTACAACTACCCCATGGCAGTTTGAATGAAAATGGCCCCCATAGGCTCATAGGGAGTGGCACTATTAGGAAGGGTGGCCTTGTTGGAGGAAGTGTGTCACTGGAGGTGGGCTTTGAGATGCTCAAGCCAGATCCAATGTGTCTCTCTCTTCCCACTGCCTGATGATCCAGATGTAGAACTCCCAGCTACCTCTCCAGGACCATGTCCATCTGCACGCCACCATGCTTCCCACCATGATGACAATGGACTAAACAGTAAGCCTCTGAACTGTAAGCCAGCCCCAATGAAATGTTTTCCTTTATGAGAGTTGCCATAGTTACGGTGTCTCTTCAAAGCAATAGAACCCTAACTAAGACACACCTTCCTGGCCTTTCTACATCTTTCTGTGGTTTTTACATGACATTTCAGTTCTTCCTGCCCGTGAGATGCTAGAGGGCACAGGCCTGGTACATAGAAAGTGCTACACACACAGGTCGTGGACAAATCAGCAGATTAGTGAATGGGTGGGATTTTAATGCTCAGATCAATTCATCCAACAACCATTCATTGGACAAACTCATTCATTAGTCAATTCATTCAACAAACATTTACTGAGTACCAGTTATGTGCCAAGTACTGTGAGAGGACCGAAGAACACAGTAGAAAAAATACAGACATGATCACAAGATACAGGAAGAAATAAAAAGAAGTGAATACATAATGAGGGTTGGGTTAGTTTCTCCCTGAAATGGTGACATTAGCACTGAAGGATGAGAGAGAGGCTGGGTGGTGACAGAGTAGGTGTGAAGCCTTCTAAATAGGGGAACAACTGGCCCAAAGGCCTTGAACTAGGAATGACTCTGATCTGTTCAAAAAGCAACAGCGTAAGTAGAGTATGGGAGAAGATGAAAACTTGGAAGTAGCCTGGTGGGTGGTAGTGGCGCATGCCTTTAATTCCAGCACTCAGGAGGCAGAGGCAGGTAGATCTCTGTGAGTTCAAGACCAGCCGGTCTACAAGAGCTGGTTGAGAGAGAGAGAGAGAGAGAGAGAGAGAGAGAGAGAGAGAACTTGGAAGTACACACAGGGCAGTGGTCAGGCCATGTTAATTTGCTCCACCTTAGCATTGGTTTGAGCTCACCCCCAGAACCACTGACCTCCACTCCTAATCCCTCCTCACTCTTCCAGAATATACTAAAGTTTATTGGATAGCCAGTATGGCTGGAGGGAGGGGTATAATAGAGACAGCTGAGCCAGGTGGTGGTGCACGCCTTTAATCCCAGCACTTGGGAGGCAGAGGCAGGCAGATCTCTGTGAGTTCAAGGCCAGCCTGGTCTACATAAAGGAACCATGTCTTGAAAAACAAACAAAAAAAGAAGACAGCTGAAAATGATCGATTGGGAGATTTGGGCTTTAAAACCAGCCTAAAACCGCCAACTACTGGAGTAGATAAATACAACTCTAGCCAATAATCTCTATTTTACAGATGGGGCAACTGAGGCCCCAAGAGAGGCAGTGACTTGCCCAAAGACAGCGAGAAGCTGCTTGCCTCTTAGTGTATCCCCAGTGGCTGCCCTGCACGTTACAGGCCCTTCATCACTGGTTATTATTCCTTTAGTAATAAAGGAATAAAGGAATGAGTCTTCCCGAGAACGGTGTTCTGTGCTGGATTTCCCAAAAGAGAAAGATAAGCAAGCAATCTGGGACTTAGGGCTGGCTGTGTGAACTGGGGGCGCTTTCCCTCAGTCTCCAAGAACTTTCTCCTGCTGAGAAACTGGCCAGTCGCTAAGAGAGGGAGCTCAAATGTGGGAGGCATCTCATGAAGGTACCCTCCCCAGCCAGCATCAGCAAACCTCACCTTGGTACTGGAAGATGTCGTGTGAGTTCCAGGGCACCCCAGGGAACATCCTATCCAAGCGAGTGACACTCTGGGGATCCACCCTCTGTGTCTTCAAGTCGAACCTGCCGAAAAACAGACAAGCTCTGAGCCCCTCCCGCCCCCACGGGCTGCGGGCGCGTGGCGCCAGGGCTCCCCCTACCGGCGGCCGCGGTTGCTCTCACCTCCACACGCGCTCCCTGCTCAACAGCAGAGCCTTCCCGCCGCCTCGCGGGAGGAGCCCGGAGATCTGGGTTACCTCTGAGCCTAGACCCAACTTATCCAGACGCCTGGGGCCCAGCACCGACTGGCCTGTGTACACCCACACTTTGCGCCCTACAAAAGAAAAGGGTCACATTGGTCTGGGGACACGGAGGTGGAGCACAGTCTCTTTGAATGCCAGAAGGGAGAAGCCAGGGAGGCCTAGTCTCAGATGCCACTCAAGGGTCACAACAGCCGAAATTCAATAGCCTCCTTCCCACAAGGGGACCCCCTTTGTGTCGCAGTCCTACGCTGATGGGTACTGAGCCAGAGAGGCACCAACTAACCAGAAAAGAAGAAAATCTTCTTGGACTGCGGATCCTCAAAGGCTGAGTCCAGCTTTGCAGGCAGAGCTGGCCACGTGCGGGCAATAAGAAAGGGGCCCTGCAGCCGGCTCCCTCGGCGATTCAGGAACTTCCAGTACCGACTGAAAGAAAGGAGATAGCAGGGCCCTGAACCTTGGCCTGGGGAGGAAAGTGGGCTGAAGAGGCAGGCAGGTTCCTCTCCAAGTCCCCCCCCCTCCCCGCGCTCTCATCCACACACCCCTTCTGCTCACCCGTCCTTGAAGAAATACAGAGAGCCCTGGATCTCAGCGATAGCGTCGAAAATATCCACGTTGCAGGCATTGTCTGCTGGGCTCAAAGACACTGTAATGGCCTCAGAAGGGCCAGCAGTAGGGGGGCCTGTAGGGTCAGCTGCAGGAGGGCCTGTAGGGCCAGCCTGGGGACTCTTTGTAGGGTAGGCAGTGGGAGGTACAGTAGGGCACATAGTAGGAGGTGCTGTCGGCTGTGGTGCAGTTGTGGTGGTGGCTGGAAGCCCTGGGTCAGGCTTAGGGCCAGGACCTAAAACAAGACCCTAGGTAAGACACTCTAGTCAGCAATTCACCATAACCCTAGCCTACTACTGAGCCCAACACTGATGTCATCTGTCTTCCCTTGAAGCCGGAGGCTGGCTACAAGCAGGCCTCTTCCCACACACCAACCCTAAGTGTCCATACTGATCTCTGTGAAGATGTGGCCTGGGTCGCCAGAGCAGAGCAATGGGAAGAATCTCCCTCACTCCCCCAGGTCAGGGGGGGTGAGAGTCTTTTGAGTGGCCACTGTGTCAAACAGTGCTGTAAGCATTATAAACTTGCAAGATTAAGCCAGGCAGCAGTGGCACACGAGTTTAATCCCAGCACCCAGGAGGCAGAGGCAGGTAGATCTCTGTAAATTTGAGACCAGCCTGGTCTACAAAGCAAGTACCAGGAGGACAGGCTCCAAAGCTACATAGAGAAACCATATATATATATATATATATATATATATATGTGTGTGTGTGTGTGTGTGTGTGTGTGTGTGTGTGTAAATAATAAAAATGAACTCACAAGAATAGCCCTTCAGTATCCCCCATTATGTAAACCTGTCTGGTTTCCAACTCACAGAAATCAGTCTGCCTCTGCCTCTTAAATGCTGGGACTAAAGGTGTGTGCAAACACACCTGACCTTCTATGCCTTTTAAAGCTCCCTTTGGAGTTGATGAGATGGCTGCGTGGTTAAGACCACTGCTTGCTCTTTCTGAGGATGTGGGCTCCTTCCCCAGCACCCACATGGTAGTTAACCGGTAGCTTCCGTTCCAAGGGATCCACCACCCTCTTGCACCTTCAGCTGGCACCGCACATCCATGGCTCACAGACACTCAGGCAAACACCCATGCAAATACAAATAAGTTCACCTTTAGCAGTTCCTCCGGGTCAGAGCCTTAAGTAGTCCAGGTTGGCCTGGAGCTTACTATGTATCTCAGGCTAGCCTCAAACTCATGGTAACCCTCCTGTCTCAGCCTCCTGAATGCTGGGATTACAGACCTGCAACATCACACCCAGCAAGTAGCCCCGTTTTTTTGTTTTTTTGTTTTGTTTTTGGGTAAATGTTGACCAACAACAAAACAAAAAAGGAAGGAAGGAAGGAAGGAAGGAAGGAAGGAAGGACAATCAAATGGCACTTACTAAAGCCAGGCACCAATCTACTCCAGTTAACCCTATCAAAGCTTTACGAGAGGCACACTATTACACACACACACACACACAAACACACACACACACACCACTTTATATAGGAGGGACTGAAGGGTGGCCTGACACACCCATTTCACCCAAGAAGTGCCTGGAGGACCAAACCCGGGGCCCCATGCTCGCTCAGCAGCATTCGGTGCCTACTCTAACCACCAGGCTGCACACCCAGCCCCGGGCTGGCTTTTGAACCCGCTCTGGAGAGTCATCGCCAAGCACTCGCTGGGCACCCAGGCCCTGTTCTCCATGGATACTGAGGTTCCATTTCGTCCCTCCCCTCTTCTCTGGTCCCACAGCTGAGCCTCATCCTACCCTCTGCCCCTGCATCTCTGTCCCCAGCCTCACCATACAGATGCTGGATGCCTCTCACGTCGTCCTCGTGCAGAGGGGAGCCCTCAAGGAAGCGATACATGGGGTACATGAGCGCTTCCGGCACTGAAGAATGATCTAAACCCAGTGCATGGCCGAACTCGTGAGCTGCCACCAGGAACAGGCTGTACCCTGGATAGGAAGAGGAGCCTAAGGTGTAAACAGCAGACCAAAGCCCCAGCCCTGGCTGCTCCACCACCGCGACTGCCGGGAGGAACCCACTCTAGGCGCCTCAGAACACCGCTCACCTTGGTCTGGGCAGAAACCCCACTTCTTGTCAGTGTCGAAGCTCGAGGTGGTAGCGCACCAGAGGCGCCCATCTCTGCGGCCCTCGCTGGTACAGGTGGAGTACTCCTTGCCCAGGAAGACAAAGGGGAAGACGCACAGCTCGCCTGCCGAGTTGCCCCCAACCACAGTAGCGTCGGCTGGAAAGAGCAAGAGGGAAGCTGTGGGGTGAATCTAAAAATGGGGGGGGGGGGGGGGGGGGGAGGGAGGCAAACTGAGCTAGCTGGACTAGAGAATCTCCATGGCCTATTTCTGAAGCCTATGGGGCACTGTGGAGCACTGCTGAAGCCAGGAAACTCTAATGGGCAGAGCCTAGACCAGGAGACCAGGGCAGAGGCCTAAGGCCAAGCAAAAAAAGAAAAAAGAAAAAAAAAAAAAAAGGCTGCCCCAGTGGGACTCACAGAGAGGAGATGTGGAGGGGGACTGTGGATGGCAAATGGAGAGAGAAAATGGATGGATGGAAAAGCCACATTTTGGAGAACAGTGCTGGAGGGCAGAGACCGGCTGAACCAGGTGGGCGGGCCAAAGAGAGGTACCTCGGGTAGGACAAAAGCCGTAGAGCTTATCCTGGTCGTAGTTGGCTGTGGTGGCGCACCAGCGGTAACCATCCGAGCGACCTTCAGTGGTGCAGGCAGAGTAGGATCGGCCCTCAAAGATGAATGGAAACACGCAGGGTTTGCCGTCCCCATTGCCGTGCTCCGTGTAGAGTGCTGAGGAGACACACGTTATTACTCCCAAGTGCGGCCCCGACCGTCAGAGGTCTCAGCCACACTCTAATTTCACAGAGGAGTCTAGATCCAGAGAGAGAGAGAGAGAGAGAGAGAGAGAGAGAGAGAGAGAGACCTGACCTGTTCACATAGGGATTGAAAACTGAGATCTAAGATCTAAGATTCTGGACCCTTAAAGGTGGCGCCCCACCCCTCCACCCCCAGCGCATACTCACTCTCACTGGGGCAGAAACCGAATTTGCGGTCGGTGTCGTAGTCGGCTGTGGTACTACACCAAGGCGCACCATCCGTGCGGCCATCTGTGGTGCAAGCCAAATAGGAGCGTCCCTCGAAGGTGAAGGGAAAGTGACAAGGGGCACCATTTGCATTTCCAAAGTAGGTAGGAACCACTGTAGTAAGGAGACTAGAGTCAGGACAGCTGGCCGCAGGCCACTCTGAGAGAAGGGGGTTGGGGCAGGGGCGGGGGCAGGGACTCAGAAAAGCTCAAGCTCTCACCGACGCCTTTGCCCAAAGACCACAGCTCTTCATCGTCGAAGTGGGCGTCTCCCTGAATGCCGGGGCCAGGGGGGAAAGCGTGCGCCAGAAGACCGTCCTTGCCGTCGAAGGGATACCCGTCTCCGTGCTCTACAGAGGCAGGCGGAGAGGAAGGGAGTCAACCAACGACAGCTGGCAGGAGACTTGGTGACTGACAGCTGTGTCCCCTGAACAGCGCCCCAAGCCTTGCAAGAAGGCGGCTGCAGCTCCAATTCCGCGAAAGGGGGCGTCCTTTGTGCGAGCCGCGACTAGCGATTGTGGGGCAGCCCGGGAGTTCTCACCCGCGACACCAAACTGAATGACAATGTCTGCTTCGAGGCCGTACACGCGGGTGAACGTGAGCGGTGTCACCGCGCTCCACACCGCGAAGGCGCGGGCAAAGGCGTCATCGATCACGTCTCGCGGCAAGTCTTCCGAGTAGTTTTGAATCCTGTCGGTGAAAAGCCCGAGTCGGTGTGCGGTGTGCGGGGTGGGGGCGAGGTGGCGTGCTGGGATCACGAATGAAAGGGGGCGGGGCAGCAGCTACACATCCCATGCTCCCTGCTCTCATAACTTGTCTAGATGAGGTACCTCGATGCCTTGTCAGTCAAGCGCAGGAGTCGCCTAGCCTCCAGCCCCGCCCCAGCCACCTGCTTCTAGCCCAGCATCTCACCAGTATGTGATGTTATGGTGGTGCCATTTGAGGTCGCCCTCGAAGGTTTGGAATTTGCCCAAGTCTGGGACACCACAGCGTGGTGCACGAATGGCCTCTAGTGTCTTGCTGTCCAGTTCACCAGTCTGGGGTAGGGACAGCTGCTTCTGAAGTAGCAGCAAAGCGGGCCGCAGGCTCAGCTTCTCTCCCTGCATCTCGGCTACCCGAGTATAACCATAGCGGTACAGGTATTCCTGTGGGTGGAGGAGCAGAGACATTGCAGAGTTCTGGCACCCTTTCCTAGCCCTCTGGGCCACACGCTTAGGGACTCTAAAACCAGGACACCAGGGCTTCTCGAACAGCTAGAATTTCCCCGTCCTGTGGATAACACAGCTCCTTCCCACCTAAGACCTGAACCACGCCTACCCCACAGCTCCCCTAGGTTCACTTCCAACCCGTGCCTAATCCACAACCCTCCGAAACCACCCCCATCTCATTGAACCAGCACACTTGAAATGTGTCCATTGTTTTCGCCACTGCCCAGTGCCTCCACACTACCCCTGGTGCCTAACCCGGGCGCTTCCGTTTCTCCAGACATGCCCAATGCCACACAAATCCAGAAAGCATATTTCAAGCCCCAGGATTTCTCAGGGATACTGGATGTCTTCCGGGCCAGCCGTTCCCAACTATTCACTGAAGCATTTGCCTACCTGTGCCAGCTGTGTGTCGGTGAGGTTGTTGGTTCTCAGGTCTCTGGGGAAGACCACAACAGTAGGCTGGCGCTGGTGAGGAGCAGCAGAGCTGCAGCCTAGAACCAGGAGTGCCAGGACCAGGGACGGCCAGGGTCTCATGGTGAAGGTGGCAGTGTCTGGCTGAAGCTGCCCTTTCGGAGATTTTAAAGAGGCAGTAAAACTGAATCAGTAGCTCCGCCCCTCCCCTCCAGGCAGGTGCTGACTCAGGGTGTGTGTGTGTGTGTGTGTGTGTGTGTGTGTGTGTTGGGCAGCCCAAAGAAAGAGCTTACACCACCCCCTCCTTTCTGCCCTGCCCACACTCTACATTGCAGAGTCAGGCAGGACCCCAGACCCACAGGAAACCACAGCACTCAGGGGAGCAGTTGAGTTTTGCAAACTGCAGAATTTGTGGGAAAGAGAAGGGGGGGGGTGTCCAGCATGGGGGACTCACCTAGCCCTGGGTCTGAAGAGGACAGGAAAACTGCCTGGGATCCCACTTTCTTGGGCTTCTGAGACACCCCCTCCCTGGCCAGAGCTCAGCCTGGAGCCCCTCCCCACACTGTAGGTTCTGTCTTCTCATCCCCCTCCCTGGTGGTATCCTTGACTCAGCTTCCTCTCCTGCCAGCTGGGAGCAGGCTCTTCAAGGCAGGATTTGGGGAATTCCACTGGGCAAGCCCCTAGCTTCAGCAGGCTGACTCCTTGAGGCCCAGGGGCATGTGGGAGCAAGCAGAAGCTTCACCTTCCCATGAGCCTCGGGTAGCATCCTTCCTCTTCTGTCCATAGAATAAAAACAAAAACGGACCCTTCCTCCTTCAATCCTTTGTCCCTATTCTGCTGTAAGGAGAAAATGAGAAGGAACACAGAAAATGCTTTTAGCACAGTATGTATGTGAGGCCTCAGTTGATGGTGGCAATTCCTCTAGCCATTTGGAGGCCAGGTTTGGGATCAGAATCAGGAGACTGGGGCCGGGCGTTGGTGGCGCACTCGGGAGGCAGAGGCAGGTGGATCTCTGGTGAGTTTGAGACCAGCCTGGTCTATAAGAGCTAGTTCCAGGACAGCCTCCAAAGCCACAGGGAAACCCTGTCTCAAAAAACCAAAAAAAAAAGAAGAAGAAGAAAGAATCAGGAGACTGGGGTCTTGGCTCTGAGACTCTGGGTGATGTGGAGCAAACACCTTCCTCTCCCTGAGCTATGAATGCTTTACAGACCTTTCCCCTGTTCCAGCCCTGCTCCAGCCATGAAAACTTCTGCGCCATCTCACCAATTGCCAACACCCTCCCTGCCTTCCATCCATGCAGCCTGCCACCATGGTGAAACGGCAAGCTGTTTACACAGAACCTTCTATGTGCCCAGACCTTCATACACTTCCCTAAGGAACGAACCTGTGAGGAGGAGAAGGGAGGCCAGGTGTGCTCCCGGCTTCTCTTATGTGCTTCTAATTGATGACCTTCAGTCCTGAATTTCAGTCTTGGGCCCACCATTTCCCAACTTCACCATTTCCCAACTGTGTCACCTTGGGCAAGATTACATCTCCAAGCCACAGTGATAATTCACTTTTTGTGATTTATTGTGTTGAACACTGTGGTATGCTCCCATAAACCTCTCATTTCCCCTTCCTTGTCTTTCTTCTCTTTCTTCTATGTCTCTCTGTGTGTCGGTGTATGTGCGCGCACAAGTGTGTGTGTGTGTGTGTGTGTGTGTGTGTGTGCACATGCTCTCACTACTAGGCTCTTGGACATGCTGGGCAAGCACTCTGCAGCTGAGTTTTTGCTTATTTGTTTTGGGGGAGGTATGTGTATGTACACAAGTGTTATGCAGGGACACACATTCATGCCTACCAAAGCCACAGCAGACATTGGCTGTTCTCCTCTGTCATCTTTCTTCTTATTCCTTTGAACCAGTCTCTCACTACACCTGGAGTTCCATGTTTTTCAGATACACTGGCAGCCAGCAAGCCTTAGTGACATACTCCTGTCTTTGAATCAGTTCCCGTCCCCATCCCCCTGGTGCAGGGAACGCAAGCATGAGTGGCCATGCCCAGCTTTATACATGAATGCTGGGGATCCGAACTCCGGTCTTCATGCTTCTGCAACAGATGCTCTTACCCTGGAAGTGAGTCATTTCCCAGCTCATCCTTGGTTGATTGAGGAAAGATCCTACGATGTAGCTCAGGTTTGTGTTGAGCTCCCATCTCCTGCCTCGACGCCCACGTGCTGTATTGTAGGTGTGCACATCATGCCTGGCTTATGAGTTTGATTTGGTGAGTAACCCCGGCTTTTGGGGCATAGGAAACTTCAGCTCGGAGCAGTCAAGGGAATTACCCATGATCATACAGTGAGTTAAAACAGAGAGTCAGGATTCAAGCTTTGGGCAGCCTGATTCTGAGGCCTTTCGCCTGCACAGGGACTGAGCAGATAAGAGTACAGATGAAAGAAATGGGTGGGCTTCCAGGGCCTTAAAGTTGGTACCTGTCTCCTCTGATCCCATGCCACCTTCCTACGATGAGGACAGAGGCTCAGGACTTTGTGGGTTCATATGCTGAAAACAGGGATCCAGGCAACTATATTACAGACTTGGAGTGTAGGGTCAAAGAGCAATACAAGATCTGGAATGGAAACAAGAGGGCCTCTCTTCATCTAGGTAGCAGACAGGGACTTCAGAGAAATCTATGAAGTAGCTCCATCTTGCCAGCGATTTGCTGAGGATGTCATTTGTGTGGATGACATGTCTATGGATTATTCCATGGCTGTGTTAGATGTCGTGTGTGTGTGTGTGTGTGTGTGTGTGTGTGTGTGTGTGTGTGTGTGTATGCTCTATTTGGGATTTAAATATAATTGCACATGAGCCGTTTGGCATATTTGGCATCCATCTTGTTGAGACAGGGTCCCACTATGTAGCCCTGCCTGGCCTAGAACTTGCTAATATGGACCAGCCCGTCCTCAAGCTCACAGAGATCCTCCTGCCTCTGCCTCCTGAGTGATGGGACTAAAGGCGTTCGCCACCACATCCAGTAAGCTTGGCACTATTGATACTTGGGGCTGATGGTTCCTTGTTTGGGGGCATCCCTGGCCACTGTAGTGTGTCTAGAGGTGTCCTCAGCCTCTCTTCCCACTAAATACCAGTAGCACACCACCTCTGCCAATTGTAACAACCAGCAATGTTGCCAAATGTCCCCTGGGCAAGAGGGAAGGAAGAACCTCTGGTGTGTGTTGATTTTTCTTTGTAAATGGTTCAAAAGTTCCATCGAATACTCAAACCATTGGTGATGATCCTCAGTTTGTTGGTTTTTTGCTTTTTGTTTTTCAAGACAGGGTTTCCCTATTTAGCCCTGAGTATCCTGGAACTTGCTCTGAAACCAGGCATGAACTCAGAGATCCGCCTGCCTCTGCTGGGATCAAAGGTATGCAACACCATGCCCAGCTTGATCCTCAAATCTTTTTTTAATTTATTATATTTATTTTATTTTATGTGCATTGGTGTCTCATCTGGATGTATATCTGTGTTGATGGTGTGAGGGACCCTGGAACTGGCATTACAGACAGTTGTGAGCTGCCATGTGGGTGCTGGGAATTGAACCTGGGTCCTCTGGAAGAGCAGCCAGTGCTCCTACCCGCTGGATCCTCAAATCTTTAATGACTGCTCAACTTTTCTAATTCCTAATACTTGGAGAGTGAAAGCAAGAGGATCAAGAGTTCAAAGCCAATCTCTGATACACAGCAAGTTTGAGGCCAGCCTGGGCTACATGAGACCCTATTTATAAATAAATAAATAAATAAATAAATAAATAAATAAATAAATAAAGCCAGTCAGTGGTATCACACACCTTTAGTCTCAGCACTCAAGAGGCAAAGGCAGGCAGATCTCTGTGAGTTGAAGGCCCACCTGGCTTACAGAGTGGGTTCTAGAACAGCTGGGGCTATACAGAGAAACTCTGTCTTGAAAAACCAAAAAACTAAATAAATAAGTTGATTAAACACATTTTTTTGAGTTTTATGAGCCAGACATTGTTCTAAGAAGTGGGCTATATCTTGGCATTCAGGTGTCAGAGGAAAGTGGATAAGAAGTTCAAGATCATCCTTGGTTGCTTAGCAAATTCTAACCCAGCCTGGGCTACATGAGATTCTAGAAAAAAAAAAAAAAAAGGAAAAGGAGGAGGAGGAGGAGGAAGGAAAGGAGAAAAGAAAGGGGACTAGTATCATTTTGTCCCCTTGCTTGTTGGACTGAAAGTCAGTTACCAGAGAGCCAGTGAAATGACCTTTACCTAAAGACCCTTGTCACCAAGCATGAGGACCTGAGTTCATCTCAGGGACTCACATGGTAGAATCTCACAGCTTCTACAAGTTGTTCTCTGAGCTCCAAGTTCAAACTGTGGCACATATGCACCCATGCCCGAACATACACAGATAAAGTGTAATAAATGATTTGTGTATGTGTGTGTGCTGTTGTTGTTGCTGTTTGTTGTTGTTGTGCTTTGAGGCAGGGTCTTACCAGGTAACTCTGGCTGGCCTGAAAGCTCACTGTGTAGACCAGGCTGGCCTCAGACTCACAGTCCTACGTGCCTCTGCCTTTTGAGTGCTATTATTAAAGATATGCACTGCTGTCACTGGTTGAAAAACATTTTTAAAACAGAGTTAACAGAAATACAAACACCACAAATGTTGATGTGGTGTATCTATCTATTCCAATTCCACCCACCATGCAGATGAGGAAACTGAGGCCCAGCACAGTCACGGAACACGGCAGAAAGAGTGTAGGGCAATAGGAGCCCTCACTCTGGGACTGAACTGCCTAAGTTCAAGTTCAAGTGTGACTCCAGCTATTGACACAACCTAACATTTTCCCCATCTGTAGAATGGTGCTAATAGCAATGCTTCCCTTGTGGTCCTGTTGTAGTAGTGCCTAGCACGCTGTATAAGTAATGCTTACCACTTCTCAGCTATGCTTGCCTTCAGGATTTATGGTTCTTACCAACTGGGATGAAAGCACCCACTGGGAACCCCAGGGCTTGGAGTCCATCCAAGCTCTCCTCTCCCCACCTCCAACTTCCTCCTTTACTACCACCTACACACACACACACACACACACACACACACACACACACGCACACACTGCTCACCAACCCCCATCAAAGGGAACTTGGGGAAAGCTTGGTTTTCAACACAACCATAGCAGGAAGCGGTTCTGGTTACCACATCCCCTTCCCCACTTCCTCAGCTCCCCCTAACACTACAACAGAGTTTAGCTAAGGACCCAGGAAAGGAGGCAAAGAACAGGAAGTGCCCCCCAGCAGCCACAACCCTGACCCCATGAACCTCACCTGGAATCTATGTTTAGACTCTGAACCCCTTACTCTAGGATGGGGACAGGACTAGACCTGGAGTCCTGAGTCATTGGCTAGGTGACACAGCCCCAGACAGCCTCCACAGCAGGGCCAACCTCAGAGATGAGGAATGGTACCCTCTGTGTAGCATGGGGGAATTCCAAGTCTGCTTCTCCCAAACTTGCTGGAGAGGATAGAGGAAGGTAGGTCTGAGAGGCTCCGGCAGGATGTGAAGGAGACAAGCTCCCTGTCTGGGATGAAACAGGTGTCCCCATGGAGTGC